TCGGTCCGTCTGCCGGTGTTTTTCTTTATCATTATCGGCTTTATCTAGGTCGCAATCTTTCGACTTAGATTTTGTCAAGAGTACTATACCAACGATTAAGAGAATGAACCCGACAAGAGCAAAAATCCCAGCAATGATCACGAGTTTTCTTTGCTGATTAGTTTGAGAGGCCATTTTATAGTACTCGAACTTGAGTTGGAGATGATGCCGCACATTTATATGTGGTGTGGTTGGTTAGTTAGGCTTTGTTTACATAAGATTGACAGTTCATTTGTTCACAGGTGAGATCACACTGAGATCGTAATGGAGGTTTCTGTATCTTATTGGAGGAAAACAGACTTTTTTTTTTAATCATAAACTTGTATGTTATTATTTACCAACGGGCCTTGGCAGAACAAATCGACCAGTACAAAGCATGCGTTTCGAAGCAGTTAGATGTCATTTTTTATTGGTTATTATACAGTAATTTTTGAATGAAGATTTTATCTTTAAATTAAGAATTAATTAACTAAGATGTAATTTACATTATGTGACGAGAACGAATCGGTATCGAGTTACAGGCGGCGCTAATTAACTATTCATACAGCAACAATTGTTTCTTTGCTTAGTAAATGAGCAAAATGTTTATTTAATTTCCATTTTAAGTTTACTTTTAACTTGTTTTCATTTGTGTGATGACTGCCTTTTAGGCCTTTAAAGCACGTCATATGAAAGTCACGCCAGACAAAAGCCTTACATTGAAAATCGCGTGACCCTGCTGGGGCCAAGGTCTCTCGGGACAGCACAAATTTTGATACAATTTTTCTTCTCTCGTTGGTTTTAATGAAGGAATCATTCTGTTACATCCATATTTTTAAAGTTGCAGTCGGCGATTTAATCAGCTTCTCAGTTTCGAGAATAGTTTATTCTAAACCATAAGAAAAGATTTAATTAGAAGTTGAATTTTTCACTTTTTACATTCAGTTCATTTTATTTGCGGGTAAGTGAGCCTTAGAAATTAAGGTATCATCCAGGGTAAAAAATCATCATTTTTCTAAACTTGCAATTTTTAGACGATTAAATAGAGCTCATTAAGAGCTTTCTTTAAAAAAAATTCCAGGAAAAAAAGTTTTTTCTGTGCAGACTTATGGAGTGCAAAAGTTTTTTGTATGCTAATTATTTTAATTGATCGTTGACAAGTCCTGTCATACTTGATACGCGTACCGTTGTTGAACCAAGCTAATCACGCAATTTGACAGAAATCGTGGTTTTACAAGTATATTGCTCACTGTTTTTCCGTGGAGTTTGAAAGTGAATGCCTCCGAAGAAGAAAAAAGAGCTTGTCCGTTTTCGTCCTCGACTCCAAGTCGACAAAAGAAGACGACAAAATCGTTTTGCCGCCAAAGAGTGGGCTTCGAAATTAGCAGAGAGCGACAAGGGCTCCTACTACAATCAAGAAAATTGGCTAAAAGATGACAAAGCTCCTAAAAAACCCATTGAAACTACCGCGGAATTGATTAGCGAGCGGAGCGAGCTTTTTAGGCCGCGAAGCAGCCAAGCGCGAGTCACGAGACGTCCCGCGCCATATAAAAATCGGATGAAGTACTGTTTTGAAAGTCTATTGTAGCGGGAAAGAAGCTTCAAGAAAAACTCCAGGAAGCGGTTTGTTGTTGATTTTGCCAGGGAAGTGTCGAACTTTTAAAAAATGTATCGAGTAAAAGTGGGCAAGGCTCAACTTGGCTTGTCCGGTGCGAAAATGAAAACTGCCCGTTGCAAATAACTAATGAAGCTTTCTCGACAACAGAAAGAATCGAACAGGGCAGAACCTTTGAAATAAATTGTTCATCTGTTGTTGGACGTTTGATCAATTCACGCTCCCGCATTCTAATCTTCTTTTAAACTTTATAGCGGATGGACATCTGTGAGCAGGGAATTAGTCAGCACAGAATTTGATTGTCGGCGAATTTCTGTAATCGTCCATCGTTCTGCTATTGATAAGCTAGCCGTTGATTGACTCGTCTTGCTTGTTTGGGGCTGAGTCTTTTTCCGGTCAAAGAGAGAGAAAGAGTGTCTGGTAAAGTTTCCGATCAAAGATTTGAGAACTCGTGTCTGGCCAGCTCTCCAAGACCCCTCCAAGTGTTTATATATACATAGTTATACGCACCTTATAACTTTACCTGCGCTTAACGAGTGTCTTTTGGTCCATAACTTTCAAAACAGCTCTACAGAATGTCACTGACAACACGTAGCGCAAAAGAGTTTCGAAGTACGACTGCACAATAAATGTCACAAAATCTACCTAAGCGGTCACTTCGGGATTTTCTGTCTTTACGTCACCCTAACCATTTCGTACTTGCGGGCGCAAACAATAGAAACGTCGTCATTACCTACCGATTGCTCGCGGCCCCTGTTCAAGCAAATCAAGATTTTTCAGGCATACTGACTGTATATTTCAACTGTAGGTACTTTCCTTAATATACGCGCGAGTTACTAGAGTGCCTCCTCGGGATTTCGCCTTCTGGGCGGAATCCCTGCGGGGACAATAAATTTGGCGCGTTTTGATATGTAATTTATGCGGGTTTGTTGAACTTTGTCAATTAAAAACGTAAAATGGATATGGAACTCAGCGCTTTGGTGCTGGCTATACTGCTAAGCTTTGCTGCTTTCGTGACGGCTACAGAAGACGAGTCCGACGGGTTCAAAGGCGGGGAAAATACATCAGGGCAAGGGGATTGTCCCTCGTTTACGCTCCAAATAAACAAGTAAGTAGTCGATCGATCAAGTTAACCATTTTACTTTCTGATTATTCTTTTTTCCCCTCATTTTTCTTTTGACGTTTGTTAATAAATTAAGCAGTTTTTTTTCTGTTTCCGCTATCTGAAAGTTGCTTTTGGTTGTCCGACCGAGATCACAGGAAAACACATCAGCTTCTATGGGTAATTCTATCTTGACCTCAGGGTCTTCTCGCCGGCTTGACCGCATCTTTCTTTTAACAGCTCGGTATAAATGCCCATGAAAAATATACTTCCTTGCATGTCCTCCAATGATTCTTCGCCGGGGACAAAACTTTTCTCCAAGCGGACAAACGGAAACTGTCCACCGCTGGTACTGAAATCACGCCACTCGTCGAATTGATTTCCAAACCCAACCGAACAAAATGAATTTTAAATCGTTTCCTTTCCCTGTCCACCAGCACAATCTCTATATCGTAAAGGTTTATGTCCGTTTTCGACTTTTTTTTGGCATTCAACGCTTCAGATCATTTTGCTCCTCTGCATCCCGGGAGGGGGGGGGGGGGACTTCGCATATGGGGGGGGATACTCGCCGTCCGGGGGGGGGGGGGGGGGACTTCGCATATGGGTGGGGATACTCGCCGTCGCCGTCTCGCTTAGGGGTGTAAATTTCGGATTTTGGTCTCACTTAGGGTGTTCTGGGCATATGTATATTTTTTCGTCTCTTTTAGGGGTCAAAAAAGCTTGGGCCACGCCCAGATCGGTCTCCTTTACGGGTTTAATTCAAAATTTCCGACGAGCATCCCCAACCCTTTCATATGCGGAGTCCTCCCCCGGGCTCTGCATAACGTTTTGGCGGGCATAAATTCTCTCTTTGGACGATTTGCCATCTCTTGCAATTTAATTTGATACTACTGCGCAACCGCGATAGCTCCCCCTGTATGTAAGAGTCACAAATATCTAATATCCTTCTGCGTGGGAAATGACTTTGATATGTTAAACTCCTTTTTGAGCTACGGTCTTCGCACCCAGATGAGCCACATTCGAGTGAAAAACCATCCCTTTTCCACATTCCCCAATACCTCTTCCTTTTATGCCTCCTATCCTACTGCTCGTCCCTTACGCTTGCTCTCGATCTACGATGACGCAAAGAGTTTTTATACTAGACTATTCTGGGATCCTTAATTACCAATGCGAATGAGATTCGTAAATCAACTTCGACGGACAACCGCACGAAAAGAGCACTCATGAAGAACGCCCCATTCAGGATGTAGCATTTCTCTCGGTACGGCCCCCCAGGGAGTACTCCTTGAGAATACAGATGGAGGTGTGGGGTGCGGTATGTTTGTGAAACCCTTACCCTACTGCAGACCAAACGATCATACGTTTCTGACAAACTGCCCACCTATCCCTCCCCTAAGCCAACGTTCACACTTTCCTTTCACTTCCAGCAAAATGTTGGCTTAGGGGAAGGGCAGGTGGGCAGTTTCCTAGAAACGTATATGATCCGACCAGACTATGTGATTTGCTCTACTATATTTTAGAGCTGAATAGCTGTTCACAAGATAGAACACAATAATGAAGTGGGCCAATATTAGAGACTGGTTCCAGATGAGCGCAGGCGGCTTATCCCATTTCAACTCTCGGCTGCTAAAATCTGAAGATTAACAACGACAAACTTCGTTTGCATGACCATACATTAACAGTTATACATTTATACATACAGAATTGAAAAAAAACTATTTGACAGAAATAAAGAAAAAAAAGGAAGAGAACTAAAATTTTGTCACAGGACAGTGAAGTTACCGGTTAATAATTTGTCGCAAAAACAAAGCAAGCTGCAATACATCAGTAATGAATTGCATGATATTGATATTACGCCGGATACTACGCAGAATATTTGGAATCAGAGTCTGAACTTTACTGTAAAAATTATTTCAGACCGTGGCTCAAAATAGAGTACTTAGGCAATGAAAAAAAAGTGAACTTTGTCTTTTATTTAGCATGCGTAGCAGGCGCTTGGAAGTAGTGGGCCAGTAGTGGGCACAAGAAAAAAAGGGCGATAGAGAAGGAGACACGCGAGGGGAGAGCTAGCTCCCTCACCCCTCGCGTGTCTCCCTCGCGGGCGCCCGTTCTCTCTTTCGCCCACTACTTCCTACGCAGGCTGTCTTCTGATCGGACCCAAAACGAGGGCAATGTCTATTTTCTCTTGAAGTCTGATGGAACCTAACTAGTTCTATCATTTGATCATCAATCGAGTCAATGCGGCTATGCGCAGAGTGTAAGAATTCACTGCAGTGATACTGTGACTGAAGAAGACCAGGAAAGATAACCTTCCTCTTGACCGCAAATGATTACAGACTGTGGCTGTGCTAAGCGTCTTACGACTGCCATCTTCGCTACTTTACCTGTAGTGGAAGCAAAGACGCTCTTTCTTCGGACAATCCGAGAAAAGCTACACATACATTAAGAGTGGACCAAATTCTCTCTTGCCTTTCACGACTCACTGACGCGTTCTCCAACTGTCTCTCAAGAACATTTTGTTAACGTTTGTTATTCACAAACTGAACCAGCCTGCATTTTCGCGTAGGAGAACGCGTGCGAGAGCCCTCAAAGGAGCTCGCGCGCTTTGCGCAAGGATATCACGCTTTCGCTTCGCACCTTGCAAAACCGATTTTGAGACAAAAAAAACCCGACTGTTTTGCAGTCTATTGTGTTTACGAAACTAGCCTGCAGACTGCCCATCAGTTACATTATGAGGAAAGAAAAACTGGCAATCAAATGAACCTATCAAACGGAACACTCAATCCTGCAATTGAAGCGAAGAACACACACACTTATCTCATATATATCAGAGGCGGATACGAACAATTTTTTAGTACCGGTTTTTTTTTTGTTGTTGTATCAACTTCCATCGGGATTTCACAATACATACCTTTTTCCCCCTTAAGAAACACTTGAAAATAGCTTCGTTGAAATGAATTTATGCCAGCAACACATTCTTCAGTTGATCGCACCATTCCAGCTCTAATACCAAGTTTCAGATTATGGATGTACTGCGCGAACGTCTTTTCAACAAGTTTCATTTTACTGATCACCAACTGAACATCCTTCAAGTTTTTAATGCGTAAATTACTCAAACCATACCGGATATCAGAATAACCCACATCGCATATAGGCTGCCAGCAAAACAGATTGGGTCCCATAAGAAAATCGCCCGCGTAATAGTCTCCATTATAAGGCGTTCCGAAATTGTTTACAAGATAGTGTTTAACTTGAGCAAGCGCCTTTTTCTCGCGAAGTTTTAATAGCCCTTTATTAACACGAAGAGCGTTGAGTTGCTTTAGAAGCTCTCGCGCTACATCGGAGATTCGCTTCAAATGTTTTGGATCTGGATCGTATGGTCTAAATTTTGCATTTAGTTCCTCTGTTGTTACACCTCCAGGCCTATAAACCAAGTCTTGCGGATGAAGCTCGTAATATGTGTTAAGAACCTTTTGAAGGTATTTTTCTAGGCCTATTCTTCTAGCTTCTCTGGAGAAGCTGCAGTGAGCTTGTTTAACACGGCCATCACCATGCTCAGTCGAATTATGGTCGTACTTAACGGATGCGGATGTTAGTAGAAAGACTATGCCAAGAAAAAACAGAATCATACCGACCAGTCTGGTGTAGTAACAAGTTAATGGCTCCATGGTCATGTGGAGTATTGGTCGTTATTTCAAGGCAAGGCCACGCTGTTATTTTTTTGCTGATAAAAATTCTTAGGTAATATCTATTTTAGGTGATTCTGAAAGATAAGAGCACTTTTTATTTCTAAAACTGATTACCATAGAACTTTTCAGATGAAAATGAAAAGGGAGGGAAGCTCTGACATTAAGCATGGTTCAAACACGGGCCAGATTCCTGGGTTGGCGAGGCCGATATCCTCGATCGAACCAGTGAAGCGCGCGAAAACATGCAAATGGCGTTTCTATCCCGTTGCTTATATTAGTTAATGTCGGGCTTAATTGCTTTTCTCAGGGCCTCAGAAGGTATTTTATTTATTTGTTTATAACTTCAACTTCAGGTGCTTAACAAAGTTTAACTAAGTTGAAATCAAACAAAGAATGACTATCCGATCAGTGCATGGCTTTCAAGTTTCCGTTGAACTAAGCAGTCTGAGATTACTTTTGGTTTCAGACAGAAGGAAGTTAAGGTGAAGTTAATTATCAGAGTTATTCGTTGCCTGATAATTGTTTAGAATATTATAATCGTTTTGTTAAATTAAAGGTCTGTTTGTTTGGAATTAGAACACCAGGTACACGCAACATGTGGCGAGATTCACAATCCGGACAGGTCAATTGCCATTGAGAAAGAAAATTAAAGTGTACGACTTGAGCTAGCCTGAGAGGAAGCCTGTGAGTGCGAGACTAAGAGAAACTAGCTATATCTCGAACTCTAAGTGTTGTTAAAATATACGATAAAAAAGTGCAGAAAAAACAGACTTTTCGAGGATGCTTGCTCTTCTTCTTGTTGGGTTGAAGGTTTTAACAAATGACTTTCAGACGTATTATTCTGTTGGACAGTTTCTGGTGAATTTGTAAACAGATATTACAAGTTTAGCGATATCCAAAGGACGTAATTGTCAAAAGTGAAATTTTGTGGTTTTTTGCCAGTAAGAGGTGAACAACGCTTTTCAACCTAATATTTGCCAACCCAGTTCAGCAATCAAAGGTACCAGGAGCCGATTACTGAAGGTACCGTATTTATTTGAATAAGCGTCCAACCTCGAATTAGCGCCTACCTCGAATAAGCGCCCATCCTAAAGGCAGAAAAAGTTAATAAACGCCCAGGCTCGAATAAGCGCCCACTCTCAGGGCCAAAAATTAAATAAGCGCCCTGGGCGGTTAATCGAATAAATACGGTACCTATGAAGACACGGAGATACCAGAAAGCCAGGGCAATGGACGATAGTAAGTCACCAACTCAAATAGTTGCCCATGCTCTGTAAAGCAGCCTTCTCTTCATATTATCGAGATCAACCACTCTTTGGCGGCCAAGATGAGGGAGCCTCGTTACTACAGTAACGAGGATTAAAAAAAGAGTTGGGGGGGGGGGCGATTTACGGGTAAAGCTTAAGCACTGCAATTACATCACACTGTTTGGTATACTTCTTTCTCGTCCGACTACTGACACTACAGCGACGTGAAAGAACGCATTCTTTTAGAGACGCTCTCACTGTCGTGGTCGTCGTGATAGCCATTTTTTTTTACTCCTTCATATAAGAACCCGAACGAAGCCAAATTTCCCCATTCACTTTCTTAAATGGTAAGGCCAGGATGTCAAAATAAAAGTCGTCTTCTCTGAAACTACTACGGGAATCAGACAACAGTTCCCTCTAAGTTGAGTCAGTTCCCCCAAAGGAGTGTATACAATAAAAATAAAATTGCTGAAGTACCGCTTTAAAAAAAGCTCAATATAGTGCGGAGCCTAGTAGAAGCCGGGCCAGGGGCCTGGCAACGCTAGTTTAAATATCGATATAACGAACCTCTAGATATCATAGTCCTCGGTAGTAACGAACGATATTTTTTGCCCCAGTAACTGAGTAAAATGTATGGAAAAGAGCCGCTATATAACGAAACCTCGTTATGCGAACAGATTTTGCCAGTCCCTTGGCCCAGTTGTTATATCGAGTTCCCACTGTACAATAACTAGGACAAAAAAATATCGTTCGTTATACCGAGGACTACGTTATTCGGAGGCTCTTTATGATCGAGGTTCCACTGTACCGCACTTATACCGTAATCCCGAATGTTCCCCTCACTAATGATAAATCACGTTCTGTTTTTACAACCATCACGCAGAGGGCGGAGGAATTAGTCGGGGGGAGACCCAGTGGCGGATCCAGGGGAGGGCCCCCCCTTATTTTTAGACCAAACTGAGAACTGAAGTCATTATCTCAGGGTCGGGATTAACGCCCCCCCTCTGAAGGTCTTGATCCGCCACTGAGGCCCCAGAGAAAAAAGACTGTCTCGGCTTGGTGGCTTGGTGAGGAGGAAGGGTAGGTTGCGGCAATAAAAATCTGGCCGTTAATGTTTTCCTTGTCAGTTGATAATACATGTATGGACTTGCATGTCAGCCCATAAACCTAGTTTGATGAAGCACCCTTTCCTTTTTGGTCCTTTTTGTTGAATGAAAATGGCCAATTGTATCGCCATTTTATTTAAATCGCTCGCTAGAATTGTCGTTTTTATAATTAGCTGAAGACACTGTAATACGCAACTTTTCTGAGAGGTTAAAATACGTTTAAATTGATGTAGCCAGTGTAGCCGTCCCAGTGTAGAGCTGAATGTACATTACGACAAAATGACCCATTTTGACGCTTTTCTTCACTCTACCTTTAAAAAATACTTTTCAAACTTTTACCGTCGCACAGTTCCTGTGCACCTTATGCAGTTCACAGAAAGAAACTATTGAGGAGTGATTTTATTTTTACTTTTAAATTACTTAATTAACTACCAAATTCGTTAGTTTTTCATGTTTGTTGACACTTATGTGACGATCAGACGATTTTAAACAATAGAGCTGACCAGCAGGTGACTGCATCTAACACTAGTTGAATATGCAAATCATCAGGGACGGTTACTAAAAATATTCTCAGTCTGTTAATATAACACCAGTGAGGTAGATCACGCATGCATTGTCCGTTATGGGGCTCAGATTCTGTGACCTTCTGTGTCCTTGCTGTGGTCAAGAATGGAGATCGATGACAAAAAATACGTTTTAAAAGAGGTACGACCACCCTCTAAAACACCCTATTACATCGCTATTGCTGCGGCTGTAGTTCTCTGTTTAGTAGGAATCATTCTTGTTGGAATTGGAGGGACGAATCTGTCAAAAGACAAGAAGGTTTGCAGCAAACGGTCATTGAAAGAGGCAATCAAGCAATCGAAGACATGCGATTATTCGAATGAAGCTAACCGCGTTGGGCTGGATGACTTCCTTAAGAAAGTAAAATCGACTTACTTCAATATGCGTCCTAACAATGTAGTTTATGATCCTGATTCGACCCCTGTGTCTGTTCGACAAACCTTCAGTCCATACAATGCTCATCCCGACGCCATCCGTGACAGGACGGACGCAGCTAGAAGGCTGTTCAAGGAAGCGGTAAATCTCGAGGAGAACGTTGACAGCAACAAGCTAAAACCGCGCGAGATCAAAGCGATAGCCCAAGTAAAGCACTTTCTACAGAGCAACTTCGGCGCGCCCTACGACGAGAATTACTATGCCGGTGACTGGATGCTTGGACCCAATAAATTCTGTTGGCAGCCCATTTGTGATGTGGGAAACGACTTGAAGGCTCATTTTACCTACGAGAGCTCGGGAATACGGCCCAAAACTTTGGACGATTTAAACTTTGTCATTGACCACCTAAAACAGTTAAACGACTCGATAATGCAGTACATCGAGAATGTTAAATATGGTGTAAAGGCAGGGTTCGTTCGCTCTGTAGAAGACTGTCAAGATGGATTATATTCAATTCAACGTGCTTACATCAGAGTATCGCAAGACGGACCAGAGGGTATGTTTATTTCGATAATACATTTTCCCAGTAATTTTTAAGCCCCATAAAACCAAATTTCCTCCCTTGACCTCACCGTTCAAGCCGTGTGGGCCCTCTCCCTCTAGTTCCCGAGAATTGTGGTCGTTTCACCTGAAAGTCGAGTCCCCCGAGGTTGTTTCACCCAGACGTAAAGTCAACTCGCCCGATGACAAACAACACTCTACGATTATGTAACACGCCTTAGCTAAAATAGGTCTAGCGTTCTGAACGATCTTAGCGATCTTGACAATCACATTCGAGATACTGAAAGACTGTACATAAAAACTGCTCGAATCGATTTCGGACTAGGGAAAAGTCCCAGGCTGGGCCTGTTAGCGCTCAAAGACATTCCTTTGTTGTGCTGTACGAGGTTAGCAATTGGGAGACGCCCGGCCCTGGCACTGTAAACGATCCTGAAAATGAGAGCACTGTCTTAGGGTTATTCTGTTTATGTTTCGGGGTTTTATTTTTCTTCTCCGATTACTTTCTAATTCGTTATTGTTTATATTATCATTTGCTCGAGTAAGCGCCTTTGCGCCTTTTTAATATTTATCTGATCATGAGAAAACTATTTTTATACATGGTTTACAAAAAGCAGTACCTCGTCATTTAATCGCCATACTCAATATAATCTGTATGTTACAAGTCAAATTAGATTTCAGGTTAAATTTTTTTTAAACCCAGGTTGATGTTCAATCTTCTTTGTCCTCTGGGTCAGCAGGTCCACACAGACCTTGTTGTGAGGGGTTCGTTACTCGTCCCTCGAACCCCTAAGAACCCCTGCGTGGGAGGCTACTAATGTGCCCAACCTAACTGGTGAATTAAGTACGGCATCAATTTGGTACGGCAGTTTTAATTTGGTGTCGCATTATTCGACATTGGAACGGCATATGGAGGCCCGTTCTGGTCAAAATCGTTTTTCATAAAATTACGCCGTAAGTCAATTTTTGCCAGTGCATCACTTATCATGGACCGTTGATCACCGTTGATCGTTGATATTTTTTATCACTACACAATACTTTTTTCAGCGTGTTGCTTATTATTTCTAGCTGCATGAATTATTTTTTATTAAGTCAAATTATTTTTTTTTATATAGTTCTATGAAACAATTTTTCATTCTTACCACGAATTATTTTTTCAGTGGTTTTTATGAATTATTTTTACCACAAGTGTTGAGAATTATTTTTTTCATTGTGCTGATAATTATTTTTGGCGGTATATCGATTTTATATTTTGGCCTACAATACATTGCGGGCTTGTGATTGACGGGGACTAGCTGGAGTGCCTATTCCTGATTTTAAACATTATATTTTTAACATTCGGAGATGAATATGAGTCTGTCCAACGGCATATACTTGAGATAGCCAATAATGCTATAACATAAATCAATCGAATTTCCCAGTTAGTGAGGTCTACTCTCACTAGCACTCCGCGAAAGTCGTCGACCTCGAGTCTATCTGGCTTTGCTTCTAGTGCCCGCCCGTCTGGATTAGAATCGGGAGCTTCTTCCTGAAGTTCAGGGTAGGGGACACTCTCATACTCAGCGTCCTCGTTCCGAAAGCCAGCTTGTGTAGTACGGGACACAAAGACTCGAGGTACAAGATTGGGTAGGGGACTGTTCATTTGGGCAGAAATGACATGTGCAATAGCTCACTTCGGAAAAGAGTGATAGCCTGGGACCCAAACTAGGCGCGCGCGCGTTTATAAGATTATTTGGGGGGGGGGGGGGGGGGGGAATGGGGGGGGGGGGGGGGGGGGGGGGGGGGCGAATTTAAACAAACACGGCGAAAAGCGACGTGGAATGTTTCAGCGGGGTCAAAACAGCTCAAAATAGCAAAACGGAAGGTGGAAATGAAAGAAAAAAAACATAAAAATGTGAAGCTGAAAGACGAAGATGTACCTGGGGCGATTTTACCTCGAGAAAAACCAGAAGAATGCTATTGGAGTTCCATTTCAAATCAGCTTTCCGAAGGAAACATACATATTCTCGCAGGATACGTCTTGCCTTTGGTATTCTATACAATGCCAGACTAGGGGAATTCCTGAAGTTATTTGTGCGCAAAGGCACACAGCAACTTGCATGTCTCGTCATAATTTAAGGTGGCTGCTCCACTTGTTCCCCCAAACAATCCCAAAAATGCGCGCGCGCTCAGTTTGGGTCCCAGGCTATCATTCTTTTCCGAAGTGAGCTATAAGGGTTAGAATCGTGTACGAGTCGTGAAGTCGCTTGGTAGTCTCCTCTATTAAATTTTTCGGCCAGAAAACCTCATCACCTTCGTACAGACTACTGGCTTCTCTCAGATTTTGTGAGAAAAGATGAAAACCTCTTTCGTTCCTTTCCGTGACGATGTTTCGCCTTGGCATTCTCTTTGAAAGTACTCCCCCGTTTGCACAGTTTTCAAAAGTCAAACATTCGAACCAGTCCCCTTCAACTGTAAGGCCTGCAATGCAATGCACTGTAGGCCAGAAAAAAAAAATTCGCGATACCCCGAAAAATAATTCTCGGCCCAATGAAAGAATAATTTGTGGTATGAATGAGAAAATTATTCGTATAATTATAACAAAAATAATTCATGTTGCTAAAAATAATTATTAACACGCTGAAAAAAGTATTGTTTAGTGATGACAAAAGTACACAACAGGTCCATAATATTTGCTGCGCAGTGGGATTAAAATTGACTTGTGGTGCAATTTTATTGTAATGATTTTGACCAGAACGGGCCTCCGTAGCGGCAGGTGATTCATACGGCGCACAATACAGCTCGTTTTCACGTAGTTGCCATGCGAAAACACTAAATTGATGAAAATGGTGGGTAAAGAAGTCCAATCTTGCCCCTTTTGCTTTAAGAACACACAAAAAAACTTGTTTACGGTGCAAGGAATACTTCTGTATGTCTTGCTTTGTCTTTGAGAATGATGAAACTGTCAAGGGCTGGAAAGCAGGCAGTTGAGTCGCATATTAAGAGCCATGTTTCCGAGAAGTTATGGAACAGCACGAAAAGGTCGAATGTAATGATTCAAATGAATCCTGCAAATATAGATATTTACAGAAGCAGAAGAACGGTCTTCTACAAAGAGGAAATCAATTGTGGCGCGAAAATATAATATCGGACCCAGGCCTTTCTCTTTCTTCGTACATGGAATAAAGGTTAGGATCGACACACGGTACTCCGTCTGAATCTGTTGCCTCGCCAATATCGCTCCAATGTCGGACCTAATTCAATTAGGTTCAGCACAAGAGTGGAGCGGCGTCTGAACCTGGCCTAACATATACCTGGACCACTACAGCCACTTCTACACAAATGCGTAACCACAAAACAACAACAAAAAAAGACACTTAAGCAAACAACACAGTAAACAAGGTAAGACAGGGGAAGTTGAGAGAAATTACAAAATGTTTGCTAACCCGATTTTCATAAATCCATGAAGATATGTTTGTAAGGCAATTTTATACGGGCGGTGGAATGAAAAAAGAAGTTGCTTTTTAAGAGTTCGTATGAACTCGTTTAAACGTTTCCGTGCGTTCCAGATCGAATTGGAATTTGGGAGTGTTGGTTTTTGACGAGAGGGGAAAACCGGAGTACCCGGAGAAAAACCTCTCGGAGCAAGGGAGAGAACCAACAACAAACTCAACCCTCAATTTCCCGACCGATTGTTGGTTTTGGATTCGTCGGATTTGTGAATTCGTGTAGAAATCGATTATACGGTTTCTGGCTGCGCGGATACGTGTGCGGGGACTTAAATAGTAAACAGTTAAATAGTCGCCACGTTTCAAGTTGTCGTTTCGTTCGCTGACTTTTCATTCCTTTTCTCATGAAACAACCCTGAAAGAAAACAAGAAACAGTCAACTTACGAAGACGCCTTCAGCAGTGCCCATTTTTTGACACCGCGGCGTTTATTGGGCACTTGACTCAAATCTGAAATCAAAGCCAGTTTTACAGTAGGGTGTTTTCAGTGAAGCATTGGAACTTGCTTGCTTCCTCGCAGTTGATTGGCTGACAGCTTTGTCGTCAGTTGCGTTACTGTTTGCTTGGCGGGATTTTGAACAGTATCTACAACCACTGTCCGTTAACGCGCTTTCGATATCGCTTCATAACGTCATAGCGATGTAATTTAGCAAAGTTAAGGCCATCCTTTTCTTTTTCACCGTTTAGCGTCTTCCGACCGACCCAAATTTTTGGTATTTTCAAAAGAAAAACGAAGAAGCGACTTAGTTAAACCATTTTTCATTTGAAATAATTCTTTTAATCTGAAAAATGAGCAAAGTAACAGCATAGAGAAAAACAGGAAAAAAAAAAACAGGAACATTTTTCACGGTGTATTGTGTATTTGGTTAATCCAGATGTGTGAATGTTAACTTTTAACGTCGTCCTTGGGTACCAAAGCCTCCTATATATTCCGAGACTTCTAATAATTTTTTTTAGGTTGTTTTTCCAATCCGACCGACTGACCCAACATCAAGAACCGCATTCGTCGAGAAACGAAAAAAAAAAGGGGGGATAGCCTAAACAACAAAAAACTGCCCTTACAAGTTTAAATCGAGTGACTGTGTGACCATTGGTTTTTCTCTTCCGTCTCTTTTTATAGGCGTTTTGAATGAAACATATACAAAGAATATGCGAGATTCAAAATGGTTAGACGACCTCAAGAAAAGTGCATCTGAGGAGTGGGAGAAGAAATACGGAAAGACCGTTCGGGCATCCATAAATGAGTCGCTAGTTCAATTCGTAGGAAAACCGCTGGACAGTTTACTGAAATACTTAGAGTTGGAGCACTCGCAGTACTGTGTCCCAAGTAACATATCTAGTGGTTTGGCCACGCTACCTTTATCATACATTTACAAGAATGGAACTAACACTGGAATCAAAACAACGAAAACACTACCGACGGGAGAAGCTCTGAGCGGCAAGGAAGCCTATAAAATGATCCTTCCTTACTTCACAACCAATCAAATGACGCCCGATGACGTGTACAAGTTAGGCGAGACAATGTTGGATCAGCTTTACCCAAGAGCTGTGGAAATCGCAAAGGAGATCACGGGCAACAACGATACAGATGAAGCCGTTGAGGAATTTAAAAAGCGTTTGGAAGAACAGAGCATGTTTTTTAACGATGAAAAAATTCCGGAAAACGAGAGCAACAAAGATGCCTTCTCAAAGTGCACCAGTATGGAGGCGGCGAGGATTTACTGCCCCAAGCGATACCAAGCTATGTTGACCTGGTTCGATTATGTAAACAGTAAGTAATAAAACTACTACTTTGTCATTCATTTTGCCTATTATTAGAAACCTTTAGATTGGAGGACGAGAACGACTACGTTTACGACATTTGACTAAAAGTTTTTTCGGGTATTCTTAGAAATTAGACACTTCGGAAAGCTTCATCGGGCTTTTGATTCACCGAAAGGTCGGCACTGTTACTTTTATTGAAGGAGGTCAAACCTTCTCCCGATCGCAAAATAATAACACTTTAAAAAATTGATAACTTGTTTCCGGCAGTACGAACGGCATTCTCGCTAAGACTCTTAGTAGAATGACGACGGCAATCACAAGTTTTCCCGCCAAAATGACGATTATTCACGCGCGAGCACTTAATAGTACATAACATGTAGTATTGAGAAAATCTCGTTTTCGTTGTAGTTCTTGTCTTACAATGTAAAGATCTCTACTATAATGAATGGATTCAATTTTTATCTTTGCTGATGGCGTGATAGAAAAAGGCATTATAGAAGAGTAGCGCTTTGCAGCGCACGGTCAATTCATCCAGCGCTTGATGCAACTTAAACAATAGAGGAGTTCATGCTCATAGTTCTGTCATGGGTAATCAGGGCAAGATGGCGGGAAATTAGAAGATTTGTATTAGACTTCAAAGCCAGCTATTTCTTCCTGAATTAATATCTTTGATGCTTTCTCTTTGAAAAGAGTAACTTACGAGTTCAAAGAAACAATACACTGAATCTGGAGTGCAAAGAAGTCCTTGATCAGTTTTTAGCACACCTTGGTTTTCCCACTCATTTTCTGTAATTCAGCAGTATCAAAATTACAGAAAATGTATGGAAAAGTTGAAGTTTTCTAAAAACTGATCACTTTGAACTCGTAAGTTACTCTTTTCAAAGAGAAAGCATCAAATATATGAATTCAGGAAGAATTAACTGGCTTTGATTCTAATACAAATCTTCTAATAATTATTTCCCGCTATCTTGCCCTGATTACCCATGATGCAACTATGAGCGTGAACTCCTCTATACCAGAGATGAAAAGAACACAAGAAGGTTAATGAGAATGCCAATTAAGACTAAGTTTTTATGGCTTTTGGAATGTCTGCAAAACTGTAGGGGTTTTTATAAAAAAATAGCTAGACCTCCTGTGACTTTTTCCATTGATATATATCTAGCCGAGTTTTTGAAAACCAACCTAACGAAATTTGCAGTCATTGGGAGTGAAAAGGCATCAAAAGGCAGATTTTTGGGACTCGTTCAGCTCCAAATCACACTAGGATAGGAGAAAAAGAAAGAGTGAGGAGGAAGAAAGGAGGAGAAGAGAAAAAGCAATGGTTGCACTCTTAGTTTTTATAATGGCTACTTTGGAGATGCCTGTACTGTATGCTACTCTATACAAGCCCACTTTTGCAGTCTTCTACATTCACGCCTTCAAATATAAAAATCAAAGTCATTCTTTTTGTCAAGAATCTGAAATTAAAGTGTGCAAATATGCAATATTGAGATCTGTGCATTTTTGTTTGTAAGATATTTTTGTAGTTATTTAGAAAAAAAATGTTTCAGCTAATTTATAGACCTTTGTGTGAAGTAGACTGTTCATAGTCTCTAGTTCAGGGGACCATCTTGGTTTCATATATAAAAAAAAAATGTAGTCGGGGTTTATAGCGTCAGGGGAGAGGGGGCTAGGTGTGAAGAGGCCAGGTCAGGGTCCCTTAGAGGCACACAAATATGGTGGCCGAATATAAACAGACACATTTGCCATTGATTTTGGCTATCATCATCATCATCATCAATCTTTAATTATACACTAAATCGTATTATTTTTACATAGTCTTCCTAGGAATCGTGTGTAAAATTAGTCTAAAATACTCTAAGGAACTACTTAAATGTAAAGTTAAAAATACAAAAACTTATATTATAATAAGAGTTATAATGAGTCATGGTGTATTAAGATAATCTTTCCCATGAAGTGAAGGTTTTAAAACATTTTTTAAAACTAGGCAGGCTGTTTCTTATCTCGGAGGGAATCTTGTTCCACAGAACAGATCCTCTATTGTGTAGGCTCCCTTTTGCAGACTCAGGTCTGGGTCTTGGGACAATAATTTAACTCAGAATTTTTAAGATATATAGAGGCTATTAGCCATCAGTAGAGAATTCATAGACATAGAAATCAGTTCTCAATATTCCAGTTCAAGGGCTGCCAGTTATGTGGCAAATGCTCAGAGGGTAAGCTAATGTCTTCTACCAATATGACAGCTTTTTTGCTGGCCATTATCATGCTGTGTGACGAAAGAGCTGCAAAAAATTCAAACGTGGTGTATCACAAAAAGCTACCACAATATTGCACACATGCCATGGTCATGATTTGTCATCTGATCTGTTTTATTTTGTTCCTTATTTAGCTATCTTGAGCGCCCTTGCTCCGAAGACCAATCATATGTTCCACCATACCGGAAAGAGGCGGAGCACCCCAAACTGCCCAGTCCTGTTAGTTGCAAACTTTAACCCAGGGACTGGTTCCCAAAGTTACTCATCCAGCGGTAAAAAATGCCCCAGGGCTTCGCATTATAGGTTACCGTTCTTCTTGAAGGACATGGGTCCAAGGTACAACGCTATTTCGGTTGCCGCTCATGAGGCCAGGCCTGGACACCATACACAGGTAGATTTCTTGATACTGTCAATAGCTTCTTTAATTTCTGTTGCTGGAGACTATCTTAGTCCTCATGCTGTGTTTTTGAGCAGAGTATTTTTGTTTCTCAGATAGGTGCTCGCTGAAACAAAGTGTAGTAGCTTTATGAGCTAGCGAGCATAGGGAAATTTTTCGCGTAATTTTGCAACAATTGTTGCAGGGTGTTTCCTGGCTTACTGTAGAACGCTGCGCGCAGTGTTGTAGGTAACTTTTCACTTTGTGGTCCTGCGTATTAAATAGGTCTTTTTCCAGAATGCTGTATATGTAGCTCATGGGTTTTATGCCCGAACAAGCGAGCTCTAAAGTTAATCTCGTTTCTTGACGCCAAGAGAAGTTAACACGCCGTTGCTAACGTCCTGATTACGCCTACTACTATGGCAATGCATGAATCCATTGCAAAGTTGTTTGTACAAGAACATAAGACACAATTTTCAATCTTCCTCAAGTCACATTTTAAAGAAACAACGACAACAACGAATGCGGAGTCTTTTAGCCACTCTGATTGAAAGATGTTGCTGGCAACGTTAGCCTAATGTTGCACCGTGTGTTGTTCAAGGCTTACAAAATAAAAAAGGAAAGCAAATGAATGAAAAATAACAGGTGAAAAAATTTTGTTGATGAAATGAGAATGCTTAGAGACAGGTACCTTCTATACCGGCACACAATTTAAACTAGTCGAGGCGGTAGAAGTTGTTGGCTTAAACAAAATATGATAAATGTATATGTAAAAGAACGATGGCAATATTAATTAATACATTAACTACCTGTAGTAACATCATTTGCTACTTGTCAGAAATTAGCAGAGGGGGAGGGAGGGTGAAACAGAGGGAGGATCACAACTTTTTGAGACTCAGAAAAGGGAGGGGTCATAAAAAGTGGACCGTTAAAAGGGGAAGGGTCATGCAAATATAAGCACATGATCATGTAGAGGTTCACCCACAGAAGAAAAAGGAAGTTCCTTATTTGGTTAAAAAAAAAACAGAGAGAAATAGGAGAGTCAAGTGATCGGCTGTCAGAATCAGGGTCGGATTCTTTATGCTGTCATCTAAAATGTATGTATATAGCTATAGCATTACAAAGAACAGATTAGAAATTTATTTTGAGTTTTCATAATACTGACTCACCCTAGCGTATTTCAAGAACTAGTTTTTATCATTTATACAGTGGGGGGAGGGTCATGATATTTTAGGCCAAGCTCAAGGGGAGGGTTAGCAAATTTCACTCCCATTGCAGGGATGGGTCGCCTCATTTCCGAACCCAAATTTCAAATTCCCACCCCCCCGCCCCCCCGATTCCCTCCTGCTAATTTCTGACAAGTCCCTTAATGCGTAAATCGGTTTTTGTGCATACGTGATAGGTTCAAGGTTTTCGTGAACTATTTGGCGACGACTGCAAGGGCGTAATAAGTTGGCTTAATGGCGCCTCATACTATACTGCGTTTACAGAAGGCTGGGCGTTATACGCCGAGAATCCGCTGATTGCTGACGAGACGGACACTTACGATAACGACCCTCTTCAGTTGTACGGCATGCTCAAGTGGCAAATATGGCGGGCACTGCGTCTTATGATGGACACTGGCCTCCATTTCAGAGGTTTGTTGGTATATATACGGTCGCTATTAAACTTCTGCTGATTAAATACGTGGCGAGGTTACGCAATTTGTTTTAAAAGGTGTTTTAAAGTTTCTCTCAACAGACTCGCTATTCAGTGAAGCCTATTCATCTGACTTAGAACAGTGTCCTGTTTTCAGAGGCCTCTTCTTTTCCCTGGTATTCGGCGGGCGGGAGGAAAAGAGATCGCCCGCCGAATACCAGGGAAAAGAGGCCTCTTCCAGCAGGGAAATAAATTAAGGTAGGGGGTGCCACATCCCTAATCAAGACGTTTTTCCTTTTAAATGAGCTTTACGTCTGATTGTTGTTACCATTTTTTGCAAACTTAAGTGAGAGTATCAGAATTCTTTCCTATGATCAATTTTTTTTGTATGAAAATGAAATCCATTATGGCGGCCATTTGGGTGACGTCACAGGTTCCTAATGTTACAGGCAGACGTGGATTTTTGGCAAAACCTTTTTAAAAGATTGTAACACAATAAGAAGCTATGGCGAGGTGCAACTTGCTCCTAAGAGTTTTAATTTTGCAAGCCAAGTACAACTTGTCTGATGTGTAGCCCAGACTGAATCAGCGAGAAAATTTTTTATAGTCATTTTCTAGCAGGTTTTTTAAATGCATATACAGTCGAAAACTCCCGTCAGCGACCACCGAAACTGTGAAGATTTAGTGGTCGCCTTCAGAAAGAGGTCGCTTCCGAGAATCAAAACACCGTACTCTCTTTCGAGAAGATGCCCTGGTACATCTTTTTGGCAAACAATTTATTACATGCGATTTCGAAGTAACGATATGAGTAGTTCCATGATGGCACCGAAACTAATTCGCATACCCTTAGTAGCGTAGTACAAACTGCGAACGTAGGGACCAGATCAAGACTCAAGTGGTCGCCTAGAGGTGATCGCTTAAGAGAGGTTCCAACTACAGAGCTTTCAGAGGTGGTCGCGCATGAACTCGCATGAAACCACTGCATGTATACGGACTTCCGAAACATCTCACCTGATTCTTTTGCAGGAATGAAACGATGGCAAGCACTGAAGCTGTTTGCTGATAAGGCCTGGGACAAAACAGACAAAGCCGTTAAAGACGTCACACGGTATCAGAGTGTCCCGGGCCAGGCCACGGCATACATGATTGGTCAACTGAAAATCTGGTCAATAAGGAACGAGACGAGAAAGGCTGTCGAAGAAGCGGGAAAAACGTTTAACGAGCAAGATTTCCACTACCAAGTTTTATCTCAGGGTTCTTCACCACTCAGTTATCTCGAGAGTCACATGAAGAAGTTTGCTGCTTGTGTTATAGATCCGGATGCTGACGGTTGTGAGTATGTCATTGGTCCTCCTATGAAGCAGACCTCTGACGTCATGGTTAGCGTTGATAACAAACCTGTGAAGCCATATCAACCCCGCCCTTATGATGAACACTATGACTAGGTGGATTGGTATGTACGTTGTTGTAGGATACACATGATTTAATATAAAATAGATTTATCATTAATAAATAATTATTTGATCAATACCAATATCAATAAACACCATAGAACAGACGAGAATCGAACAAACGAGGCAATTCTAGGCGATAATTAGATATATATTGACTCCAGACTTGAACACATTTTTCAAAACAAATTCTGTACGTTTCAGAGACTGGTTGGCTTAAGTTTGTCTTTCTTCTTGTAAGATTTTATATCGGTTGTTAACTCTAAAGAATACATAAGTGCAGAGCAGAAAGCATCTCAAATTTTTGCATTAATAGATATCGCGATTTTTGAATGCTTTTTCTGCGATGAAATGACGTTTTCGTTTATAGGAAACCTCGATGATTACGTTGATTCTAGCTGTGGTAAATCAAATGAGCTGTAGATCTACTCCATGTTTCTAATAAATTAAACGTCTGCGATATCAGCATTTGATTTGATTGTTTCAGTCGAACTACCCTTGAAAACTACTCGCTGTCCAGCCTTGTATATGGTATGAGTGGCACGTTTTGTTTCTGTTATTATTATTTAGTTTGCCATGACAGTTCACTTCGAAAATATTGTTAAATTTTAAAAAAAACCTACGTTAAGCAGTAGTTTGCTAAAAGCGGCAGCAAAACAAAGCGAAAGATATAAAGCGGAATGCCAACAGGTGGAAGGTGCCTTTTTAGGTATTTCTGTGAAATCTCATCAATTCAGATGTTAAAGACGCAGAATATGAAAAAAAAAATACTCTAGTGACAGCAAGGGCGAGCCATACAGAGTTTTATTAGTGATTTAGACATAGAAGACCACCTGCCAGCAAATATGCAACCAGCAGATAGTGGAGGGCAGATTTGTTCTAGGGACAGAATAAAGGGGACATTCAAGAAAAAAATGCTTAACTGTCTCGTTGTGGAAACCGCACAAAACAAAAACAAGAAAAAGAACCTAAAATCGTAATTGATGTGTTTTTATTTAATACCAATGACAACAATGGAAGATACCCGCTGATCGGACAGTTTTCTATTTATCCTTTTTTGGGCTGCATGACACACATTTATGTTCAAGACATGTCATTTAGAATAAGACTTGTAATTAACTTTTTTCTCCAAAAAGTGCAAGTCGTGAGCATGGAGGAAACTTCCCAACTGTGGCGATTCAAGCAATGCTTATCGCTTAAAATTCCATAACCAAGAACTTCTTTATTTACGGGATGAAGCTCAAGCGATTTTTTAGCTTTAAAAAAGTTTTTAAAAAGATTCAAACGTTGAAAGTACTATTTACAAGAATTACGACCTCGCTGTAGGTGGACATAGGTTCTCGAAAGCAGTTAAATTTCCAATTAACGAGAGCAATTTGATGTACAATTGGCACAAATACCGGTGATGATCCAATGTAGCTCAACGGGACACCACTGTATTGCTAAATTTATCATTAATTTCTGGGCGTCTTGGCAAACTTTTATTAGTTCTTCATCTTCATATCCCGGTAGTAAACAGGGCTTACGTATTTTTCACTTTGAGGTAATAGCTTTAAAATAAAAAGTGAACCCATATATGCTGATCTATAGGTTTTCAAAAAGGGACACTTTGAGGAGTTCTAAGATGAAAGCTCATATCGACTAATTCTTTGATTTCCTTACGACCGTCTGCAAAAACAGCATCGACAAGTATTGAGTTAAATTGGTACTGTCGTTGTACAGGGATTTCTTTGGCGTTTGCTTTCTTGATTGGCATCAATAGATATTAGGACAACATGTCGATTTTATCGATTCATGACTGATATTGCCATTGAAAATGAACAAATCCACACAGAGACAAAACAAATGAAGACCGGAAACAACAATAGGAATACTATGCAAGTTTTCTAAACAAAATCATGCATAAATTCTCTAAACAATAAAAGACTTCAAGAGGTTCTAATCGGCTATTAAACAGCAATTAACTCTCTTTAACTCTAAACCGCAACCCAGTGTCGGTTTATATTCTCAGGAGGGGGTTAATCTAAACACTTCCCGCTTGTTGTTTTAATAGCAAATTTGCTCAAAACGATTTTTTGAATTCAATCCAGGGAAGGATTAATCTTGCATCACCTGCCTTGAGGATGTCAGCCCAACGTGATAATTGCCGTTGTTGAAAAAAAATTAAAGTTCTATATAGTTGGGCGGGATAACTAAATTTGTCTCCTTGTCTCGCACAACAGCCTACGGTCCGGATAGTGAGTTTAATGATGGTGTTTATTTCATCCAAATGTGAATTTTATGGCACAAAATGTGGCTATAACTAATTTTTTTTCAGCAACTTAAAGTTACATTGAAAAAAAGGAAGAATAATACGAAGAAAAGGCAATGGAAAACTGAACGTGTTTTTTATCTTTACTTGAGGAGAGCTTGTCTTTGATTTTTGTGCCCTGCCTAACAACTACCAACATACGTATATCACTTGGCTATCTATACCGATCCTAAGTTTCCAGGGCTGATGACTTTGTTGTCGATGTATTTTCAAAACTGTTTCAAGTTCAAAGTTGCAAAATTTGCGTGAGGCGTAGACATTTAAGCCACTTACATTTAAAGAAACAGACGGACCTCAAAACATACTTTAAAAATGGCAAAAGTAGAGAAATAATCAAAAGTAGCTGATAGTACGTCTAAAAGAACAAAGATATCTACGATCGCGAAAGAAGAAAATAGTCCGGTGGCAGACGCGTTTCTTATACTTCGCCAAAAAAAGACTTGCGTGGTAAAACAACAAAAAAAAGAATGCAGTGAAACTGTGAATCTAGGTAATGGATCAACAACATGCAGATTTCAGGATTATCTCAGCCGGAAAAATTATAAAGCAAAGAAAACCTCTATGTAAGGAAGTCCTGGGTATAACGAACGATATTTTTCGCCCAAGTAAACTAAAAAACTTGATGATAATGTTTGAAACATCGAAACGTCGAGTAACTCTTTTAAGTTTAATTTTTCAAGTAAAAGTCAGATTATTAAAAGGGTGTCTTTGTGGAGTACTTTCTTGTGATCTGCTTTTTATTTATTTATTTACACATTTATTTATTTTTATCTATGTAAATTCAGCACTTTTAAATTTTATTATGTAATTTCATGTTCGTATATTTCAAGTGAAAACAAGGTACATTTATGGCACTTTTCTTTTTTTATGACTTAAAGTAAAAAAGTGTCCTAGAAGGACTTTGACAAAAAGAACTGTTTTAAAAATAATAATACTAATAAAAATATAACACTACGTATTTTCAGTTGTAGAAAAAACGCCGAGTTAACGTGATATAGTGGGCGTAAAAATTCATTTTTCAAAGTGAATTATCTCAGTGTTCGTTGTAACAACATTTCGTATTTGAGGTTCATGTTATAAACATTGTCTTAATTCCACAATTGGACAAAATTACAAAACGGCAAAAACGAGAGAAAATAAGAGTCCCGGAGCGATATGAAATTTTATTTTTATGAAATCATCTTTCTGTTCGAAATAAGTTAATTTGATTAACTTAATTATATCGAGAAAATGCTGCCCTTTCTCAAAAAGTATTTATAAATTATCTAAGGCATTTTCAGGAGCACTTTTAAAAAGTGGACTTTTTTTTCGAAGATGACGCCCAGACCTGCAAAATGGATGATCTTTTCAAAGAGGACTAAACACTCGAACAACATTTATTTTCCTTTGCTACCTACACGTCAAAGTGATAGCAAAACAGAGCATAGTTTAAAATTTATGAAAATGCACAGAATACAAATTAATATAACATAAAAAGTACAGTAAATTAAAATAGTCACTCATGAAGCCACCTGATTCATTTGCACCTTTACGGAGAAAGCGCCATTGTAGAACAATAAAATGAAAAATCATAAATCGCGTTTTTCAGTCGGATTTTTTGACAGTTTCTAATAACTCTTTACAGCTAAAGGAAGCACTTGTAGTTTATACGTTTTCGAGTCATTTGTTATTAAATCAAGCATCTTATGCCTTATTGATATTAAGTTTTATATTTGGCAATTTGAAAAACTAGTATTTTATTGAAACGATCTTGCTCCGCTCTTTAAAAATTCATAGTCTTTTGGTAATACACTGGAGAAAGAAACACATAAAACCCGCCTTTCTACTGTTTCAAACAGCAGTCTTGAAAATAAACACAAGGAATTTGTGTGTGTGTATGCGTGTTTCACCTTGTTACAACATAAATAGTTCATTTTTTCTTACGCAGTTATTGTTCTTCGCGCTATGGCGCCCTTGGTATTTTAAAGGTTCATTCTGTGAAGACATGGACGTTTTTAAGAACAAAAAGAGGTGAGGATTACCTAAAAGCTTCGATAAATTAAAGGAGGGAAAAAATACGACAATGGTTTAAAATACGACTCTTGAAGACTGAAATAGAAAACGGTAAACCTACTGACTGCTCCAGAGAAAGGAACTCATTGTCCGTTTTTGCAAGTTGAAAAGAAAATGTAACTTTTGACAGACAGCTCTCTACCGAAAAACATATAATCGTGAGCAAAATAAACCCGAAAATAACTTATTGATTGCTTTTTTCCTGGTGTTAGTTTCCTTAATGATCATTCTTCCCGGCTTAAATTTCAATCTCATCGATGAATTAAACTCAATTTGTGCGAAGTTCATTATAGCCTTCCGCCACCACTTCATTACATGGTACGAATTAGAAATATCCGCCGATATACACCGCGATCCGGCTCGTCAATTTTGTAGTTCGGAAAGAATGATAATGTAAAATGGCTTTTCGTTAAAGATTGTGTGATCAATATTGAGACAAACAACTTTTCGGCTACGATTGTAATTCCTTTATACACACGTCTTTTAATAACCTACGTGCTAAGTCTTAATTAGGCGACTAAATGCTTTCTTTCATTACTTTCTTTCGCGTGCCCAAATTTGCAAAAGGGGAATGAGATTCTTAATTCTAAATGCCATTGAATTTTGACAAACCTAAACCGCAAACTCCATTAAAGAGCAGTAAATGAAACTTATCATATAAACGTTATAGATTTAACAATGAAACATTTGTCACAAGTTTGAAAGAATATGACCTAAAACTTTGCGGTACCAGCTCATTTTTTTCGAATCATATCAATCAGTAACTTCAGTACTGTTTTTAAAGAGTCCGTTTTTCTTTGTCTGTTTAGATTTTACCTATATAAGTTCTGATTTACTGTCAAAGTTTGGAAGACGACGAGATGTATCGTTAATTTATCATCAGTGAATTGCAACTGATTCAAAAATTAAAGTTTTGAGATATCCTATCTTTCATTTGTGTCAACAATCTTGTTGAATGAATTTACTATAGACACTCAGTCATCCTAGGTTGCGAGCACTAACGTTTCATGGAAAAATATTTCCATGTATACACAACCCATAATATGCAGTTTTGGGTGTGCACATCAAATTATAAGAATCAGTGTATCCTGCAGTATTTTTCTGTTCTGCTTCAGTTTTATTTTGATGTTTCACTTACACCGTGGTGATTGTGAGATATATAACTGCTGGCTAAAAATCACCAAGAACATTTGGAAGAGAGAGAA